GAGCATGCTTAGACTTTTCCTTATTGCTTTCCATAACTTTTCCATATTGCTTTTTGTAAGAAAGTAAAAACAAGTATGTATCATTAGTTGCATCTGTGCATGTGCTACACATCTGTAGGTGCACATTTGCTAAAGCTCTAACCTGCACAGAGCAAAAACATTACTGCACTCAAAGAAATTATGCCTGAAGTCCCAAGATTTCAGACAAAATGTGGAAAATCTTTCAATTACAAGTTGTGGGAAAAAAACCACAGCATACCTATACAGCACAAATGTGGCCAACCAATCTTGTCAATCCAGGAAAAAGGGAGTATAGGTAGTCCTCGCTTAACAACCGTTCATTTAACGATGGTTCAAAGTTACAACAACCTCAGAAAGGGTGCTTTACAGCCCATAAAGCACTTCCGGATGTCATAAAATGTTGCACCCCACCCCCTGCAGTCACATGGCTGCATTTCAGGCACTTGGCAACCAGCCTGTATTTACAACCGATTGCCTAGTGCCCCGCAATCATGTGACTGCCATTTACAATCTTCTCTTCTAGCTTCCCCAGAAAGTCAATGGGGAAGCCGGCAGGGAAGGTTGCAAGTGGAGGGGATGGAGGGGAGTGAAATCCTTCTGTAGTCTGCAGGAATGGAGCAAAAATCTTGAAGATTTGAGTTCCATTCCCGCAGCCCATGAAGGATTTCCCCCCCGTGCCCGAAGGGGAGGAGAAACCCTTCAGTGCACTGCAGGAACATTTGAGAGTGAAAGGGCTGCCTTCCAGAATTTCAGCTCTGCGTGGAGCTGAAATCCTTCAACAGGCAGCCCTTTCACTCCATCCACTTAACGAACCAGAGATCACTTAACAATCGCAACTGGGAGTGCCCAGATTGGGGTCATTCAGCAAAGCAGTCACATGGGGGTCTCACTTAACAACCTCTTCAGTCAATGATCAAGATTCTGGTCCCAATTGTGGTCATTAAATGAGGACTACCTGTACAGAATAGTCCTGGCAGGTATTATGGCATGCTACAGAACCCTATATGAAATTTAAACAGCCCAGAAGTCCTATGGCACCTTGAAGATTAATTAACACATTTGTTGTTGCATAAGCTTTCTCCAACTAAGCTCTAATTTCAGATATCTAATCTCAGCAACTGTTGGATATGACATACATTGCTGTACAAAATATAACATAATAATGCTAAGCATTTATATTGTACATTTTACATATTCAGAGTACCTCACACACAGTACTTTAGTAACCTTTACGGTATTGCTGTATGGTAAGTACATGGTGTTATCCCCATATTCAGATACAGCATAGGGTACAAAGCACATATTTGGCCCAGAAAATCCTTTTGACATGACACAGCTCAAAGTATGTACCAATACAAACAACAGAGTTTATTCTTCATTTTCACTTGCCCTAGATTTGTATTTATACTTATAAATTAATTTACACATTTTTGCATCCTTGTGTCTGCTGATCTTGAGCTCCAGATTATTTTATTAACTAGCAGCACCCCAGCTCTTGTCTGAATTTCAGATAATGCATTTTTCTATTTTCCATTTCGTACTGAGTAGAGATCAGTTGGCAAACATGAATTGGTAACTACTAATATAATTTTTTACCCTTAATGTATTAGAAAAATATGCAATGAGAATTTAGAAAAACTCATTGCTATTAGGCTCCTTCCACCTTCCACAGAATCTGACTTATTGAAGATATATATTCCACTCATTCTAGTTCACTTTATTTAGAGAATAGCCTACTTAATCTTTATTCTTCTTTTAATTAGTAGTTTACTTAATCTTGATTATCGTATTTCTTCCTAGTACTATATACTATATGTAATAATGCAATTCTATTCTTATTCCATTAAAATATACAGGAGAGTTTTTAACATTCATTTTTTTCAATAATCCAACGTGAAAATTAGTTTATGCTTTAGAAAAGTATTTTCCGCCCTGCATATTTTCCAGGATTTAGATTCATCAGCTTTTCCCACATGGTATGGAAAAGCTGCTGCAGATAACATTGGCAGGAAGGTTCTGATAACTGATTTACCACTCTGCTCACTTTCAGAAAAAAACAGGAGAATTCACCAGTCTTCAAAATAGAAGAAAGCAATAGGTAGCATTAAAAAATCCTTTGTGCATACTTTCTAACATTCAAAGCAGAAAATGTAGCTGCAGTCATCTGATTTTAACAGAACTGGACTCAGAATCTAAGGACCATAGCTTTCAATATTCATTTTATTTAATCTCTTCTTCCTGTAAGAACAGTTGGCAGCAAAGGGATGTAAAAATCATGTGGATTTCTGGTTAGTTATTTGTAGTTAAAAGCAGGTTGGTACTGGATTCCATCCCTTCAAACAATTCAATTTAGTTACCCCCGTTCACAAAAACAGCAAAAATGAGGAATGGTCACCAGGCATATTGCCAGTTTTCAAAAGCTGACCGTAATTCCAACTATTTCAGAAAAAGTTATCCTAAAAGAATAGTGCAGTCATTCAAAATATGGTAATGGATATTTGTAATAGCACTACAATATTACTAGTGGTAGTATTTGTCCTTTTTCTTCAGAGAAAGCATATTTGTTTTTACCCACACCCACACAATGTATACAGGTGGAAAATTGCAATATTTAAATATAAGTGAGCTATAAATGCAGCTGCCACCAGTGAATGAAGCATACTTAGAATCCTTTTGCATGTCATCCAGAAATGGTAACTGAGAACTGTGTCTCTCACAATGAGGAAAATTCTGCTCCTCCCTGTGGCCAAATGTAAATGCTCAATATACCCACAGTGGGAGCACATGCATGTGTCTGTGCCAAAATCTGTCTATGTCTTATTTTCTCATAAGAACTGGACATGTCAGGCATGCCACTGTTTGGGAATATGCAGGCCATCAGGCCTTTTCCTGAAACACCAAAAGCCCCTTCTAATCTTGAAGTGTTATGCACTGTATCTGTTCTGAATGCATGCTGAAACCACTCTGAATAAAGTAGGGCTGGAACATCCAATAGAAAATGTCATACTGTACAGCTGCGCAGAAGTTAACCAGTTAGAGGGGAAAAAATGGCAAAGAATTAGGCTTGGTTTACAGGTCATTCTGTTAGACCTGTTAGATCTTTCCTTCTTATTTTCTAGGTCCAGAATAGCTAGAAATCAAGTACTAGATATTACTTAACACATGAAAGCACACAAAGGGGCATATCAGGTATGCTTGTTTGGTGTTACATGACAGCACAGCTTAGATCAACCTTCATTAGAGAGAGCATCAAGCAGCCGTTAACCGCCCTCCGATGTACGGGGGGGGGGGGGGTTTTAACAGCCTTCCCTCCTGCTGGCTACCAGCGGCCATCGCTGAGGCCAGCAGAGGGAAAAGCAGCAGCAGCAGCACTTCCGTTGCGCTTCGATCCAGATTCATCATCGTGCTTCCGGAACTTCAGCTAAGAATCTGGAGGCTCATTTTGTCTTTTTCTTCCTCTCTTTCAATCCCTTTCTGGAAATGTGTTCACACAATAAACGGTAGCAGCATGTGGTTTGGTTTATTCTTGCTTAGTGTGCTGTACAAACTATGGTTTCTGATCGTTTTGTGAACCCAAGTTATTGTGATTTAATAAACCATAGTTAAGATAACTGTGACTCTGTGTTGTGTAAGCCTATATCTCCCTTTTAAACTGCAGGCAGAAGGGTTCTTATTTATGACCTTTACAAGCCATTTAGGGAGATTTTTCAGCCAGAGAGCAAAATAAAACTCTGCTAAATTTAATAAAACATCTGTAACCTACTATGCCCTCCACTCAAATAGGTCTTAGCAGCATTAAAATAAACGTATAACACTGAATAGGACTGATAATGCAGCATGATGGAGAGAAATCCCTTATCTTCACTCCCTTTATAAAAAACAGAGAAACCAAATTAACTTCCAAGGGCAATAACACGTCCTCAAGTAAAGAATTGTAATAACCTTTTCCTTTCAAGCTGTCCATTTAGTAGAAGGCACACTCTTTTACTCGTAATCAGTTCCATATCTGTATACTATAGTTAAACAACTGAACTACGTCGAGCATAGAAATCCTGCGACTCTTGGACTTCCCCATTTCTCCCCCACCCAACGATGAGCTATTTCCAGGCCATCACTGTATCACTAGGGTCTGACACAATGGTGGCAATCCATCAAAGGTAAATTATGGAGTAACATGAAAGACGATGACTTCTACGAGCCAGATGGGATAGCACAGCAATGCAGAATTTAAAATATCCTCTTCTGTCTAGCAGGACTTTGAGGACAGGGCACCGGCAAGTTTTAATATTGTAGAGAAAGTGCCATTTTCTCCTCGTTCCCCTGGTGTTTTTGGCAGTAGTAATGATACCAACAGCAGCGTGCAAAACTCAGCGATGCTACGAGGATCAGAAAAAGCATGTTGGCAAGCAAGCATGCATCTCCTGCCACAAGCACCATATTCCTTTCTAAAGGCCGGGAAAGGGCAGGGGCAGCAGTGTTAAAAGCACCCTGACTGGCACGCAAAGCCACCTCGTTTTAACCCACGGCATCGCCAACCGAGGCCCAAAGCCTCTTCCGAAGTCTGGAACTGCAGCGAGAGGCTCCCTTCATCTGCGCCTTCCGCTGAATTCTGCAATGGCCACCCCGGACAGCCCAGCTGGGACGCCTGCTGCCGGCACCGGGAAGAAAAAGAGCCTCCTGCGCCTATTAAATTGGCAGCCCCAGCCACGCTTTTCCCCTCCCCTCGGAGGTGGCGGGAGCAGCCCACTATGACTCAGTCATACCGTGACATCCAGCAAAGGCAAGCGAAGAGAGGGGAGCTCAGCAATGGCTGGCTCTCCTCAGGCGCAGCAACGGGCCTCCTAGCGGTGCCGCTCGCTCAGTAAGTAGAAAGGCGGGCGCCAGGCGAGAGGCCTGCAAGGCCAAGCTACGCCGGAGCCGCCGTTGCCCCTTTAAGAGAGGCCGGACGCGTTGTGTTTAATGTATCAAATTGTGGCGGTCACGTGAGGCCCTGGAGAAGGGGTTGAGGAGCAGCGCGGCGGCGGCGGCAGGAGCGGTGCGAGCAGCCATCGTCGCCGTCGAGGGTCCACCGAGCCCGGGAGCGAATGGCTGGCGCTGACTGCGGCTAGGGTGGGCGCAAACCCGGCAGGAAGGAGGGACTGAACCCAGGCGAGGCCCCGAGCTAGGAGAGCGGCTTCCTCCGGACTGCGCGGCGATTCCTCCCCTCCCCCCCCTTTTTTGTCCTTGCGCTTCTTGAGGCTCCACGTTTGTTATTCATCGGAGTCGATTGATTGATCGATCGATTGACAACCGTGCGTTAAAGGGGCCCTGCCGCTTTTTAGCTGAGAAGCCGGGGTCGGATTGAGCTCCTGTTCCTTTAATCCACGCCGGGGGGAATCCTGCGATGCGCCCTTGATCTTTAGTCATCTTTCCGCCCTTGAGTTCCTTCATACTCCCGTTCTTCCTCTCTTGCACCTCGACCCTAACGCGCCTTCGCCATTCCGGGAGAAGCGGAGGGGAAGAGCATCTCTGCCTGTTTCCGGGGCCAGCTTCCCTTCACCTTGATAGCGACCCCTTCGATCTGCTCAGCATACTTCATTTAATTGGTTTTATTGGGCCATCCACTCCCTACTTCGGACCTGCTTTATATTGCAAACCTTGGAGGGGGAGGAGGTTGTAAGGTTTTTAATTGGCTGTATCTGTAGGGGGAAAATCTTTGCGAAGCAGGCAGAGCTTCTTAGCTTAGATTCTTCACTCCTCTGCCTTGAATGGGGAAAGGATTTTTAAAAATCCATCTAGGCTTTCTGTACTGGATCTTAATCGATAAATGGACCTGCTTTTTAATTTATCACCCTATTTTCCTGCTCCGGAATTCCCATATTCGTTCTTGTCTTCCTTGTGTGCGATAGTGTGGTGATAGCAGCCCCCCTCCCCCCGCTTAATTTTCCTTTTCTCTGTTAGGCTGAAATTGTGGCTGTGTTTCGTGTTGTTTCTTTTTTATATGGCACAGGTCTGATCCGTTGGTCTGCTAGCTCATTCTGTTGTTGTGACAGAGGGAGGGAGCTGAAGAAGAGAGGTGCTGAAGAAAGGTGTAGATACACATATTTTTAAAAATAGATTTTTACTTAAAAGCGGGGCAGAAGAGACCCAAGATGGCTGGACATGGTTGTGGGGAGCATGTAGGGGTTTCTTTGATCTGATAATAAAAGCTAAAAGACAACAGCTGCGGCTATATAAACCCAATTTAGAGTACTCTGCTTCTCTCCTGCTCCTTGTGTGTGTCTCTCTCTTTCCCCCATCAGGCGCACACTTTACAGGGTGGTGCCATTCACCAGCTCCCCTCCCTTGTCCTTAACACATTTGTTTCTATTTTTCTCCCCTAAATCCCACCAATTAAAAATAAAATCAACTCAAAATGGCTGAGGACTGAGTAGGTCCTCTTGGAATTGTACATTTCAGCAGTTCCCTTCTAGCTCTTGTCTGTCTTCCTCTTCTCCTCCCACCCCCTTGCAGGCTGGTTCCAAAAGGAGAAATAGCTTTCATGTCAGAAGGAAAACAGAGAAGCAAAGGGAAAGAGGCGGGGGCTGGGCTTTTCATTAGCAGTTGAGAAATTCCTTTTCAGTTTGATCAAGGCATACTTGTTTTCCTTCCAGCGAGAGCAAACCATCACTCTCCAAAAGGCTGAGGATTTTGGAGTTGGGAGTATTGTTTCTACCTTAGTCTTATGAAAGATAAAAAACAAGACAAATCTTGAGATCAGAATTCCAGAGAGTATTGGAATAGGTTTTCTTTTCGTTGAATTTGTCTTTGGCTATTATTATTCTTTGGAGTAGAGTTTTTTACAAGTATTTTTCTTCTTCTCATTCCTGTTTGTAAAGGGAGCAAAGGATGGGAGGGTCCTTTTGGCTCTGGGCTGGAATTTCATCCGAGTGATTGACCGTCTTCCTACTGAGATTGCACTGTCCCAAAGCCAAGAAAAAAATATCTTTTTGCACCATTCAGCTGCATTAGAAGCTAGCTGCTTTTTTCCCCCTCTTTGCATATGGATTTATCTCCAGCTTTTTAATGATTGAATTAAAGACTCAAATTCTAATTTCTTACGGAGGAAAATAATTGAAAGGGGAGTCTTGAGTTTAGTCAAGAGAGATACAAATTCCTTTCAGATATTAAATGGTCAAAAAGTGATAATTAGGAGTGTTTAACGTAGGAGGTTTATATGGCATTTGGACTTCCTTCTGGATTTTGTATGGATTTTTTTCAATTCTCGGTAAGTTTTACTTTTGCTTTTCAGAATCAGAAGTAAAAACTTTGTAAGAATTAAGAAAGTTTGGTTTCAAACTTTAGAAGTATCTATTCTGCAATTTTAATACTGATCGTTAATTTCATTTTAGACAATTGGGGTTGTTACTGGGAGTATATTGCTTCAAATTTTAGGAGATCTACATTAATTGCATTCTTAACTTTTTTGGTTCATTAGCAACTTAGTGGCCTTTCTGTTGCAAAAGTGGAAACTCATCATCATCTGCTTTAGTAGACCAAAAACTGACTTTTTAACAAGAGATTAAAACAAAAATTCTGACCGGGGTGAGACATGGCTGAAAACTGGAAGAACTGTTTTGAAGAGGAGCTTATATGCCCCATTTGTCTGCATGTCTTTGTGGAACCTGTCCAACTTCCTTGTAAGCACAATTTCTGTAGGGGATGCATAGGAGAGGCTTGGGCCAAAGAGTCGGGGCTAGTGCGTTGTCCTGAGTGTAACCAGGCCTACAACCAGAAGCCCAACCTTGAAAAGAACTTAAAATTGACCAACATTGTGGAGAAGTTCAACTCTCTCAATTTGGAAAAGACTCCCTCAGTCTTACATTGTGTCTTCTGCCGCCGTGGGCCACCTTTGCCTGCACAGAAGATCTGTCTAAGGTGCGAAGCTCCGTGCTGTCAGTCCCACGTTCAGACACACCTGCAGCAGCCCTCCACAGCACGTGGGCACCTCCTGGTGGAGGCAGATGACGTCAGGGCCTGGAGTTGCCCCCAGCACAATGCTTACCGGCTGTATCACTGCGAGGCCGAACAGGTTGCTGTTTGCCAGTTCTGTTGCTACTACAGCGGTGCACACCAAGGGCACTCAGTATGTGACGTGGAGATCCGGCGCAATGAGATCAGGGTAAGTGGGAACGTTGCTTCACTCTTAAAGGCAGCTTTCTTCTTGATTGCAGAGTACAACTGGTGAGTTTGACGGGGCCAACCTCATCATTAGGCAACCCGTTTTCTCAGATGGTGGATGGGAGTTGTTGAGGAGGGGGTCCTGAGCGCAGCCCCCTGGCCTTTCCCTTCTGTTGGGGTACGTTACTATGAGTACCCTGTGGCCCACCCTGCTCCCTGTCCAGATAGTCTAATGCTTTCAGCTGAGGTGGTGAACGCTGTCACATAATCAGCTTAAGTGGAATAGAGGAGGATATCTGACTGTTTTTATTAGAAAAGCAAAATAAAGCCTTTTCCTATAAATTAAATTACTAAGCTGTCTTTTGCCCCGGCAGCAAAATATCTTTGGCCAGTTTAGTGCTTGGTGCTGTACAAAAGAACATCAAGCAATTAGTTCTCTACTTCAGGGAGCAACCAGTTTCTTCTCCTTCTAGCCCCCCAGTTCTTTGGTTACCATCCGCTATTGTTTACTTTGTGCCAGTCTTGATCAGAGGCCAAAGAGGAACCATTGACACCAAATGATAAACAGTAACTGAAAGTGCAGTGAAAGCTTGTTTCTTACTGTTTTCTTGATTGCACATCAACAAGGTTAATATTGTTTCATTCGCTCTGCTCCTTAATTCTGCTAGGAACAGTTTTATCCTCATGTTATTTTTAAAATAAATTTTTAAAATGTTGCTCCTTTTGCTCAAATGTAACCTTTTGCAATAATAAAATGAACCATTCCACCCAAAGGTGACCTTTCTTTTTAGTTAAGCAGAGGCAGAGGTGGTGGTTTTGTTTTGGTTTTTTGCCTTTTTTCTTTTTTTGCAAGGCCTACGGAATATGCCCTTCCATTGCTCCAACAAGATTTACTGCAGGTTGTTCTATATACTAAGGCTGGGTACTGTTCTCGTTTCTTAGATGTGAAAATGAAGAAATAAACAAAAGCTGACATTATCTTTTCAGGCCTCCTTAGAAATGCATCAAGGGAAACAGGCCTCTACTGCACAGGATGTTGGGGGAGGGGAGGGGAGGGATAAAGCAATGGGAATGTGTGTGGTGGGGAGGTGTCTTTCAATGTAACTGTAGTTACTTAAACAATAAGGTATAAAATAGGGGTGGTGGTGTAACAATGGTCTTATACCTTTTTTTTCCTTGTGAAAAATAGTTATTTAAATCTCATTACTTTGCAAATCTCACGATAGGAGGAAATCTGCTAAAGCTGTGGATCATTGTGTACCGTTAGAGATAAGTACAGGCTTATTAGCAGATATAAAATTCTATATAGGGTAGACTCTTCTCAGTGGTGCAGTAAGTGAAGCTGTAGAATTTTCAGCAATTTCCCCTTTTCCTTATTACTTTCAAAATAAAATGCCCATTACAGTGTCCTTTGGTTTACTCTAGGAACCTTTTCTACTGACTCAACCCCTTTGCTGCTATCATAAAGGAATGGGATGGACAGAAAAGCCAGTGGACTTGAAGGTTGAAAGTACTGTATAGTACTGAAATCTGGTTTTAAGCAGCTTTGTTCCCAGGGGTTGGGTGCAAGGACTTTATTACATTGCAGTCCTGCTATTTTGTAAGACTTGTCGGTGTCAAATCACCATTCTTCTTCCCTCCCTCCCATCCTCCTTTCTGGCCAACTTCCTAGAAAGGAGAAATACATATGAACTCATCCCTTTCTCCTACCTAGACTTCATGCTCATCCCTTTGTCCTACCTGGACTTCATGCTACGAAGGGAGTTATGAGATAATCTCTTCGCATTCATTTAGATGGAACAAAAGATATTCCCCAGAGAAGCCATCCTTTAGTTGCAGGTCAAGGGAATGTAACTGGAAGAACCCCAGCAGCTTCAAATTGATATTTTGTACCTTGACAGTGCAGTAAAGGTAGGATGGTCAATCTGGTGCTCACCAGATGTTTTCTCCTATATTCCTTTAAATTCCAGCCAGCATTGCCATGAGCATATAGTTTGGAGTGTAAGTTTCTTTAATTTCTGACATCCCAGTGGTTTCTGACAGTAGGCTGAAATTCGACAGGTCTTTGGAGGGGGGATTCTTCTATACATGGAAGTTGGACAAAAGGTTAAAATACAAAGCCATGACGACTGATTGGACTATAGTCGTAAGATCACCTAAAGTAGTTTAGCTAGCTTTTGACAACATTAAAAATGACTATTTATGGTAGACTTTTCCTCTGTGTCATCACTTCCCTTCATGCATGTTTATCTACGAAATGAGGTTGTAATCTGTATTGGTGATCATGAGGCTGGAACCAGGGAGTGGTGTTTACTCTGGATTAATACTGAGTTTAAGGGTGTGATCTTGAGTATGTGGCAAAAGTCAGACTGAGGAACAGCTGTGTGACAACACCTGCATGTAAAGACTGGCTGGCTGGGCCTTTTCTCTTTTTCTTGCCTGAGGAGGCCCCTGTCTTCTGTCTCTGATATGATCCAATTGCTTCAAAATCTACTAAAAAATCTGCACAAACAGGTCCACAGATTCCTTTCAAGCATCATTGTGTAGGATAAATATTTAACAACAAATGAACAGCAGTGGCTGTAAAACAGAGACAACTTTTTTGTATTCCAGTGTTGCCAAAATGACTCACCATTTAGCTGCTAAAATGGGGGAGTGAAGAAGCCATAAATAAAATTGCTTTCTTATTATTTTCCAGTTGGAGAAATAGTCGTCTTGTGGTTGGGATGGAGGTATGTGTTTTGAGTAGAAAGAGTGAGTTTGAACAGGAAGGTTATTTTTCTCCCCTCTACTTTTTTGTGGGTGGGGTGGGGGGAGAAGAGGAGAAGCCAAATACCTCAGTTGAGCTGCTGGTGGTTCTACCACACCCATACAGGAAGAAGGGAAGATCCGGCAAAGCTATTGAGAAACTCATAGGATTGGCTTCTCCCCTCCCCCTCCTTCCTTTCTATTTATAGACAGCTATAAGGGAGAAAGAGGGAGGAATGTTGGCTCAAGCAGAAAAGATGTCTTTTTCCCAAAATCTAGGAGAGGTTTGGCGATGACATGACTGATGAACTGAGACTGGCAAATCCCACTAACAGTTCAATTCAGAGCTTGCTTCTCGTTAATGAGTCAATTTTCTGGAATTTTTAGTTATGTCCACACCCATCTTTTTCTAGAATTTTACCTTGTGTCCTTCCTTCATTCCCATCCATCATATAATGTAGAAACCTATATTCATTTTGGACCTTGCTGTTGGTAGTCAGGCTGCATACAAAGTGAGTTAGTCAAAAGTCATCCCAGAATGTCTGGTGGGATTTCCCTGAATAAGCAGACATTGTCTGGAAATCTGTTGATTTCCAACTCTGTGTCCTTGGTTGGGGTGGGCAATTCTTGGTTATGATTCCAATTGTATAGTAAAGAATAAAACCACTGCATGTTGACCTTAGTGTATTG